TACAAACATACCAGTACTTATAACTGGAGCACACACGCAGCTACGTGAGCCTTGGTTATCTGAATGACGACTCTGGTTTAGTAACTTGCAACTAAACTGTTCGTTGCCTTTAGTACTGCCGCTTTATCTTAAGTTTGCTACAGACCTGTAACTTCAGACTGCTGGTATTGGATATAGTTCTCTTTTAAGTTTTATTTAATACAAGGTTATAACTCTTAAGAGTAGCGATACATAGCCATTTGTTAGCATATAACTCTAATATAACTTAAGGGTTATATAGTAACTTGTAATAAATTTAGCTTTTGAATCAGCTTTTCCAGTCCAGAGGCACTTTCCAAAGGGGTGCAGATAACTAAGTTACTGCAGAGTTACAGGCCAACTTCAGACGTGCTTGAGAATCCAGCAGGAGCCTCTGCCTCTTAGAAAAGCTGCCCCTGAGCTGCAAGTCACGTCAGTCCTGAGGCCGCTGCCACCCTTGGGGCACCCACCCAAGATGTTTTTCAACCATTTAAGTAGCAAGTACCCCCTAACATTTTAATAAGTATCCCAACACTCAATTTTCCAGGAGATTTTATATTTACAGACGAATTTGTGCTATATGTTGGAAGAGGGGCTGGGTATATAAGGCCGTGATATGACAGATGTCTGATCTGGTGTGGGTAGGGTTGCCACCTTTTACACCAGGGGTGCACAATTCAAGTATGTACCTGGGGTAGAAGTGATGTTGGCCAAGCTAGGAGGGCCGAACCCAGTGCTGTGCAAAGCATAGCACGCCAAATTATTACTGGGGAATTTTTTTGCCTAGTTTGGAGGAATTTAAAGTGTCGCGCAATGCTGGTGCACCAAATTTTTTTCCATAGTTTTGAGAGGAGGAAGGGGCGAGAGACAGAAGAAAAGAGGATGAGAGGGAGCATGTTGGGGTACCTGCATACCCCCAGCCTGTGTCTCGCATAACCCCAGGGGTACAGAGAAACTACACTGTAACAACCCTCCCAACTCCCCTCAACTGCAGAGGCCCAGTTGTGTAATGCTGGCCCACATTTTCCGCCTTTAAACTGTTCCCACCTCACCCTCAAGCCCTTCCGTCTTTGATTTTATCCTTGCAAAGCAAATGGCCTAGAAACGACCGGCGGGACACAGCAGGGAAGCGGCGGCCACAAGCCCGTAGCAGCTCCTGGTCTGTGGGGGGTGCCCTGGCGTCCCCGGGCCCCGTGTCCCCCGGTTCCAGTGCCAGCGCCCCGCAAGCAGCCCGGGGGCTGGCTCCGGCTCCTCCCGCGCGGGGCCCCAGGGCAGGAAGCGGGGGAAGGAGCGGGCGCCCCGGCCCCGCCGCCTACCTGATCCTGTCCCTCTCGGCCCTGCGCAGCGCCGAGTCCCGCCTCAGCACGTGCAGGACGGCGCGGGCCTCCTCCCGGCTCAAGAAGCTGAGGTCCAGCCCGCCCCGCGCCGCCGCCGCACTCATGCTGTCCCCGGCCTCCCCGCCGCGGCTCCTGCGCTCAGCTCAGGCCGGGGGGAG